TTATGTCATATGATCATCATATGATTTTTATAAACAATTTATAATACTTAATATTTAAACACATGTATCTCAACAAATATTTAACCAATTTAATGATTTTACTACTGTTAGAATTAGAAAGATCTGCTCTACAACCTTTATTAGAAATTTAAAATTAGTTCTTAATAAAATTTTCTTTAATTTTAAAAAGAAAAAAATATTGCCATTAGTTTTATATATAATTTGCAAATAGTATACTCTACCCTTAAAGTAGCATAATTTGTTAGTCATATTAAGATTCCCACTTTTTCACTAATAAAAATGATTCTTGCAATATTACAGTCTTTGTTTGCATATTCAATATTTATTTACTAAAGTAATTATATATCAACATTACGAGAATTAATAATAATTACAGATACTTTGAAAGTCATCAGGGGTTTGATCTCGACGCCCAACAATATCCACTATCTGAAGTTCTACAATTTAAGGTTTTGAGAAATGAAACGTATGGAGCTTTCAAAGCCATGGCTACTTTAAAATTATGGCATCCAGCTGAACAAATAAGATTACGGATTTAAAAATACAACCGTTAGGCCAGATGCTCCAACAACGGACGACTTTCTCGACATGTGCAAGTCATATATAAAATATTTGGTTTTTTTATCTTTTTCATTTCTTAAACTTTATATTGATTTTCGTAACGAATAGCAATGGGAAACTTACTGTACAAGCGCAAAATAACACGCAGGGTCGTTTTTTGAAAATTAACCCTAATTAATCTTAATTTAGGCCAAAATTCGAAATTAAACCCATGCGAATTATTTACACTTGTACGGTACATACTAATGACCGCAAGAAAATGAATTGATATTTTTTTTGGAAGTGACAGATAAACCAATTAATAATAAAGTAGTACTTAGTATTTAAAAATCCATTGTATACTTTATTACACTTAGAGATGGGTTTCATGCGTGCGCATTAATGCGCATTCATGTGCATGTTATTATAAAGTACGCATTTTCCCCATCACTAATTACACATCATTATCTCAATTGTTGTTTACTGTCACGGGTTAAGCGTTATACTATTGAATAACAAAATCTAGTCAGACCATCACTCGCTTATTTAATTAAAACGATATTAATGACAAATATATTAAATAAGACTTCCTGTATTTCGCTTTCCCTTCATAACTCTTATTTATACCCTTACATACTATACAATTGCGTTATTACTAATTACATAGGTTATTTGACTTTATTATAATTCTTGACATGCAAAAAACAAATATATAAAAAAATGTACAATAATGTTTGAATATTTGCTAGGAATCAGAAACCGATATAAAGAATAAAAGAATTTATTATTATTATTATTTTTTAATTTATTTATTTATATAATTTAAATACGATCATTTTTTCTATTTAGCAATATTACATATCACTCTGTTGCTGGTAAATAAGCGCTGGAAATAAATTTTATAACAGTCATTTATTATATCATGAATTAACTATACTGTATTTTATAACGTGTTCATTAAGGCTACACCAACATTGTTCTGCATTTTACATTACCCTTCTACTTTCTGGGAGAGGGAGAGTGGGTGAATTTGAGCGTATCATATATAGAAAAAAATTTTTTTGCTCTATTTTTCAAAGATGAATTTTAAGAAGCATCAATTTTACAATTACTATTCATTATTTGTAATTGAATTTTTAAAAATTTTTTTAAATCCTCAGTCTTTTTCAATAAGTTTACAGCATTATTCTATGATACAGGTTTTTATGAAGCAATCACAAAATTCCGAGTGAAATATATAAAGCAATAGCTAATCAAATCTATAGCAAAATTAGTAAACTTTATGCTTTTGTTACACTAAAATACAAATATGCATGCGAACAGAAACGAAAAATTTTTAAATTTACGATTTTGATAGTAATACTAAGTTAATTAATAAACTAATCAAAAACGTAACATTTGAATGTAACCTTTGTATCACTTTGATTAAACATTTAATATCCTCCGCTACACTCCGGACAACCATTTTAGTTATTGATAAATTTTTGTTCCTTAAAAAAATAAAAAATAAATAAATAAATAAATAAATAAATAATAAATAAAAATGGACCCTATACGACTTCGTATAATTGGTTACAATTATCAACATGGTGTTGGTGTTAAGAAAGACGAAAAGAAAGCTTTTGAATGTTATATGAAAGCAGCTGATTTAGGAAATTCAGATGCGATATTTGAAGTTGGTATTTGTTATAAATATGGAATTGGAGTAGAAATAAATTACCAGAAAGCATTTGAATATTTTAAGAGATCGGTTAGTTTAGATAATATTTATGCAATGAATAGTATTGGTGGTCTTTATGAAAGTGGAGGTGGAGTTGATCAAAATTATAATAAAGCATTTGAATACTATAAAAAATCTGCTAATATGGGTGTTGGGATGGCAATGTATAATGTTGCTCGACTTTATCGAAACGGTATGGGTACAAAAAGAAATATTCAGGAGGCAAATTATTGGTTCACAAAATATAGAAGTCTTTTGAAAATTAATAAATCACCTGATCATATCAATCCTAAACTTAGGAGAATATTAGATGATGAAAGATTTAAATTATCTTGGATTGATTATAATGAGTTCAGAATTGTTAGGGAAATGGGAAAAGGAGGATTCGCAACTGTATATTCTGCACATTGGTTCGATAGAATTAATAGTATTTGGTGGTCTGTTGCACTTAAAGTAATTCATGATTCAGACGAAAATGAGCAAGAATTTATCCAGGAATTGAAAAATTACTGTGAAATTGGTTATGAGAATCCTTCGTTCTTGAACTGCATAGGAGTGTCAAAAAATGAACATGATAATTATATTATTGTTATGCAAGTTGCACGAAAGGGATCGTTACGACAAAATCTTGTAAAAGTATCACAATTAGAATGGAAAGACAAATTGAATATTTTGTATGGTATAGCATTGGATCTTGAGTCGATTCATTCGCAGGAACTCGTTCATAGAGATTTACACAGCGGAAATGTTTTGCAAACTTTTGCTTTGCATGACGCATACATCACTGACCTTGGACTTTCTAGAAAAATAAAGGAAGGAAAAATTTGTGGAATTCTGCCTTATATAGCACCTGAGGTTTTTGTGGGTCAACCATATACTCAAGCATCAGATATTTACAGTCTTGGAGTTATCGCGACTGAGATTTCAACTGGACAAAGAGCATTTGATGGAATACCATTTAATGATGATCTTATATCAAGAATTATCAGTGGTTCAAGGCCTAACTGTTTAGGACCAGATTGTCATATTAAATTAGCTATGAAATGTATGGATAAAGATTTTAATAAACGACCTACTGCAAAAGAAATTATTGAAATAATCACTCAATGGTTAGATGAAATGAATCAGGAAAGTGATAATGAAATAAAAAAACAATTTTTTGAAGTTAATAAGGTTAAATCAGAATCGATTAAACAAATACATTCACAAAACATGTACACTAGCAAGATATATGATACGAGTAAATTTTCACAATATAGTACTGTAGAATTTGAGAATAAATTCTCAAATTTATATTTAAATTAAATTTTAAATTATCTAAGATGATTTAGGAAGATACAATTATAATAATTTTTTATTAGTTATCAAAAATTTCCACAATACCTATTATATTATTCAGATAACTATTTTCTTCTTTCTTTAATCTATAAATTTTAGATAATATTCTTATCATTTGTTTTGGTAGTTTGTTTCTTGGGAATAAGAAATATTTAAATCAGTTTTATCATTTTTTAGAATCTCATTCTTTGAAATTTTTTTTATTTATATTTAATCTTTATAAAAATATAAATTTTTTGATTTTAAAAATGATTACTAATATGCTAGACTAGTGTTGTTAACTGGAAACTACTGGAAGACAACTGGAACTCCACTGGAAGAAAATTAATAGTACTACTGGAACTTTTACTATTACAAATTTCCACTGGAAGGCTGAGAATTACTACTGGAAGCAAAAAAATTAACAACACTGTGCTAGACATCTTAGCAAAGTAAATTTTCATAAAAATGCTGTTTTAACTTCGTATCTAAATTAATATCGAAAATTATGATATCCACGTACTTAATTATAGTAATTAATTCTGAAATGTTACAGTATATTAGGCAGTGATTGTATTCACATAAGAATTGCAAGTACCGGGATCCATGCATATAAAAATCATAATACGTATCTTAAAATTATACTATGATATTAGAAACTTATTCGTTTTAACAGTGTAATTATAAATCATTATGCAATTGTGAATTTAAATAATTTTATTTAAAATAACATTCTTTATCTTTTCATATAAAAAAGTGAATTAAATAAAAACAATGTACAGTATCTCTGAACCTTGTTATTCTATTATTATTTTGAATTATCTATAGAAAAGCAGTGTTCACCTTGAGTTGATGGATCGTTACCCCACCAGACTGGAAATGGTATCTGAAAGACAAAGTTTGTTATGTTATATAAATAATTGAAATATTAAATGACACAACTGAAGCTGGAAATTTTAGTGAAATTCGAATTTTTTTTTGTGTTGCTTTTTACTTTCTTAGCATTTTTTTTAATAATTAGTTTAGAATATAGAGTTAGCTATTATAATAAAAAGTATAAGTGGACCTTTGTAGAATTTTTTTAAATAAAGGACCCTAACATCTAGCTTCAGCAATTACCAGCTTAACCCGGAATTAAATGAATAGCTTACCTGTGTAATTCCATTAAAACAAAAGAAAAATATCATTGTCATGATTTGTGCACCAGAGTCAAATGCTGCAGACATTATATAATTGTATCTTTTCATATATAAATGAATGCGCACCATTTCACATTATTAATTGCAAAAAAAGAAAAGAAAAGAAAAAGAGAATAGAAACCTACTTTTTCCACCACCTATGACGATCAAATAAGAGCTTTAATTATTAATTCGTATATTCATGACAATAAATAAGCATATACTTACTTATACCTATAACGAAATGCATAAAACTGACTCAAAAAACTAACAATAAATCCAGTAATTATGAAATTTGGTAAAGTTGAGGGGAAAAATGTTAGACCATGAAATATCACGGGAATATTCACAAGGTTAAATTTTGCCTTTGGAAACTTTCGATGAAGTAAGTAAAATGGTATTGGTAAAAAGCCACCAATTAAAAAGCCCCATAGGAGTATATAATAAATTGAGCCAGGCTGTCGGAAATCACAAAGGCCACATGGAATATTAGATTTAAATGTAATTCATTACTTTAAATAATAATAATAATAATACATTATATTCGAATTGACATACTCCGAAAGTCCTTTCTGGTCCAATTAATCCCCACACTATAGATGCAGTATTAAATATCTCTGATTTAAAGCCAGTCCACTATACACACAATTAAAAACATTTCCCTTAAAAAAAGTTTAAAGAATCAGGTCATATGATAAAAATTAAACCTATTTACCTGGCCACTCGGATCAGATTTTGTACCATCAAGGTACATTCTTTTCTTATTGATTATAATATTCAATGCCCAATAGTTTATAATTATGCCAACAAATGTACCCCATATTTGTGATTTGAACATACTTCTTGGAGGAACTTTCATATAATGACCTTTTAAAAGTGAAAATAAAATTTGATAATATTTAGACAGCTCCGATGCTAATGAATATTTATTAAAGAATGAACATGCCTAATTTTAGATCCTGAACAAATAACAGACATTGTGACAAAGACACACGTCCATAAGTTTTAAAATATATGTTTGCGATAGGACGACCAGGTAAAATAAAACCGCACACCAATTCAGATATAATATTTAAACCAATTTGCTGCTTGTTATGGCTATTCTTTCATGCTATTACCTGCAACTATTTGTCATGCGGCACTATTTCATGGGAAGGAAGTTTGGAATCGATACAAAAAAACTAAAGGAGAAGAAGAAGAAGAAGAAGCTGATATACACTGTAAAATGATGAAAGTTTATCCAGGTTTCAATAATGTCCTTTTATTTTTATTTCATTTCTAACAATAACTTTTGAAAAAGTTTATTAAAGTTATGATTTACATTCTCAATTCTTATTTTGACAATAGAAATACCAAATTATTGGTATAATAGTATTTTCTTTATAACATTAATAATCGCAATTATCCTTGGTTATACAACTGGTGCGAACTTACCTTGGTGGGGTGTATTGTTGGCAGTTGCTCTTGCTGTATTCACAGTACCTCCGATAGGTATACTATTTATGATCATTTGTTCAAAATG